TCTTTTATTTCATTTGTATCTTTCGCTGCAAGGAGAAACTACCGTGTTGTATAGATAGCAACTTGTACTCTTTTTCACTTAGTGAGTTGGTGTTTAATAATGAAATTTCATATTTTATCAACAAAGAACACTTGAGACTATATTAGTCTAATCTGGCCATAACACAGACAAACACGCATACACACAGAAAAATACAAGAATTACATAAACTATAACTAACAAGTAACAAAGACGTCAAAAAGCAGAATGTGTAAAATCATACCGCGCTCCAATTCTTTGATCCTAGCACGTAAAGTTGCATTATCGTTTAAATTACCATCCATGCCTGAAAACAAAGGTCAATTTTGACATCCACAACAACGTATATCTTAACAAACTGTATAAAAAGGTTGCCTAACCATTATAATTTATTGCTTTTGCAATTAACACAAGAAGCAAAGAGCAACACCAAACCACCAATACTGGCTTGAATAATAACCAAATGATAATCAAAAGGCTTCGGAAGAGCTCCAATAGGCGGGAAAAATGGAACTTCTATGTGTAATAACTGTAAAAAAAAAGGAAGTAAAAAGCTGCACAAAGTACTCGTCTAAGCCAGTGACTCATTTTACATGTCAAAGATAACAGAAACACTATGAAAATTTTTGGTGAACTTTACAATTTTTCTGTCTCTAACATCATATGGTAAAAGAAAAAATCCACATGCTTTTGACATTCATACCTCTGAGTTCTCTAACAAAATTCTAGATAGCACTATAACAAGTTTAACTTATTTGAGAACTTTTACATAATAAGGAGGTTGTTTACTATCCTTAGCACAGCTAAGAAACTCTAGTAAATCAAAAACAGTACATGCCAACATTAGGACAAAAGTGAAGTTCCTGACAAGCAGCAAGAATATGTCACACCTATATTTTATCAGCAGAAAAACTTAGATTTCCATCGTGCCATGAATAGTATTTTACTTAAAAATTTCTGGAGGTATGGGGTTAAGCAAGAATCAACTTGACAAAAAGAAGTTTCAGTAAGCACCAAGTTTTCTAATCACAACAACATCAACAAGCAAATGAACCTCATCCTCATGCATCTTAGGACCATTGTAGTCAAGCAAGATAGGCTTACCATTTGTCCTGTTATAAGCAAAGCCAATGTGTTACATTGAAAGCTTCCTGAAATTAGGACAAAGGGCAACAAGTATTTCTTGAAGCTATCTCTTTATAGAATTAATTCATTTCAAGATTCCTAAGTAAGTTCAAGTGGATTAGCTTAATCTCTTCGTAGCATAATGCTAAATTTGTCACGAATTGGTAGGGAACAGAGCAAGTTGTTCTTCCTCTTAGAAGTCTCATTCTTTAGTTAATTTTCCCTTTCATGTGAAGCAAAGGTTTCAATTTCTCCACAGTAGTACCTTCATTGACTTCGGCTTCACTAATGACTAAATTGGCCATGTATATAGCTAAATGTCTGTTACTTTACTGACCAAGCAGTCCATCCAAGGGAAGACAGGAAAAACGTAATCCATAATGATGTAAACCATTTGGAAAAGATAGTTCAATAAGAAGATCAGAAGATAATTAAGGCACCTGTGGAATACCAGTAACAACAAAATGTAATTCTTTTAATGAAAGCCAACTCTTCCCCTGGCCCTATTAGATTTGCTATTATGTTAACGTGTGTGAATGTGTAATAACCAACAAAAGTGTTCATCACAATAAGCCAATTTTCCCATTCAGTCTTGAAAATGATTGCATTCTAGAGCTTCATTATTTAAAACGTAGATTTAGAGGTTTGTCGAATGCAGTGCATTACCACTAAAGTTGAAAAGATTGTGCCAAAAATCAGAAATTGAAGCACACTGTATTGATGCAAATACCAGAAAATCTTCAAAACACAGAGTCGTAAGAGCGTAACTAACCCCCTAGCCGCCACAAAGAATAATAAAAATAATTTTCATATACCAATCTTCACAATAAAATTCCCGTAAAAATCCATTTTTCACAATAAATTCCCATGAAAATTCTAAAATTCAAATCAGGCACCGTTGTAAAATTTCCCCCTTTCTTCAGTTCCAAGGAAGCAGCAAAAACTCATAGACAGAATTCGAAAATTCGAAATAGGGCAAAGTCAGACAGAATTTTTCTCTAAAATGCAAACGCCTACCAAATCTAGAGCGGAGATGAAGCTTCGTAGCATAGACAGTCAAGTAAATTGATTCGAAGCATCGAAGCGATTACCTTGATGCAACAAAGTTGGAGCGGCGAAGAAGCCCAAACGCCAATTTATCTTGTGAAAAAGTTGGTAGAGCTTCCACAAACAGAAGTTGATTAATTTAAGCTATGAATGCAAAAGTAGCGCAAATTCCATGGAGGAACGGAGTTGTAACTTGTATCACAGGAGGGAGAATAAGTTGAGAATACCGAAGAGAGAGAAAATCACATTCCAATTTATGTGAAAATAATATTTTTGAAATTTGTAGGGCTAAACAAGCAAAAAAAAATGTGTATAGATTATAAAAAGTAATAGCGTTATCAGACATAAGGCCATAATAGAGAAATTCAATACATAATTAGACTGAAATGACTAAAGTAGCCCTTGATCGGCAAGCAAGGAAATCGACGGTCTCTTGTTTGCGTTAGGGCGCTTCTACATAAGTAGAAATTTATTGAAATCTAGGGGTATTTGTGTTTTCTATAATTTATTGAAATTTAGGGTATTATTGGAACGATCAAATTACAATGATGCTTAGCATTATTTGGAATTTTTACTTTGGGGCAAGGATGAAAGTATCAAGTGTGCTAATACAAAATTTAGTGTAAATGGCGAAACATAACCGGAATTAGTATATCAAAATATTTACCTATAGATGTCTATGTTTGCTTCTTTTTTTTGTGTGTGTACGTGTATGAATTTTGGATCCACTTATCCCCCAGGTTATTCCATTACGAAGGTTATTAAGAAAAGGTTATTCCATTATGAATTATCACATAGTTTTCATAGATAATTTAGAGCTTGCAAAGATTTCGTCACAACTTTTTAATCGAATGATCATTCACTCTTTTATTCTAACCTGTACATCTGATAGATCTACTCTGTAATAATTAACCTCATCGAAAGAAATATTTAATATTTATACTGGTTAAAGATAACATATATCGGATAAATAGTCGAGATGTACACAAATTAACTGTTATAAATAAATAAATAAATAAATAAATAAAAAGAATCATCAGATATTAATATTTAGAATAAATTAACAAAAAAAAGAATCATCCATTACATGTATCCATATTTAGTATATACTTCCTCTCTCCGGAAAACATTCTACTCCTGGGCAAACCTCCAAAACAATAAACATATAGTAAGAAATCCACCTTTTAGCATTAACTAAAAATAAAATTGACCATATTAAACTTAATTTATTCATTGAAAATATAACAAATACTCTTAGGCTCTTTACTCTAAGGGTAACCTTAGAAAAATAAGCTAATTCCTTCTTGATATCTGAAAAAAATCAAATATTATGACCACCAAAAAAAGGCCGAAAAAGCAATTAAAGTGGGACCGCATGTAGTAGTATTTGCATTTCGGATAATGGTCTGATTTGCCCCTCTACTATTATAAATAGGCCTTATTTACCCTCCGTTTAATTTTTCTATCAAAAATATCCTTACCGTTATACATTAGGTTCATATTTACCCCTTAAACGTTAAAAAGGGTTACATTTGCCCTTCGTTATACTTTAGGATCATATTTACCCCTCTCCCCCCTCCCTTACTCTTCAAAAAGGGTTACATTTGCCCTTCGTTATACTTTCTTGACATCTTTAGCCTTACAATTATTCCCTACATTTACCCTTATCCGGTAGATCGCCATGTCCCACTTTTGTTTTCCTACATGGGGCCTATGTAGATTTCTTTTTCTTCCAATTTAAATATGGTTACCTATTTAAGATAATTTAACCCGCCCACCCAATTTAAATAAGACACACTAAGATAAATGAAAATCATAATTCCCAATTCCCAATCCCCACCCACACCCCCACACACCCCACACACCCACACCCCACACCCCACACCCCTCCCCCACTCGTCCATCTCTCTTTTCCGGATCAGCTCCATGTTTTTCAGAGAGCGAGAAAATTTTGGACAATGAGTGAACGAAACTATAGTGTTATCTCTAATTGATTTATTTAATTATTTCATCTTTGTATATGTTAATTTGTTTTCCTTTAATACTTAGGAGTTAGGAGACATGAATCACTCAAGGATGTTTTGAAGTATTTGTAGAGATACAACTCTGTAAAGTCTAAAGTGGGTCAATTGACCATGATTGATTCACGAAAAGCAATTTTCTGATACGGCATTTATGAAGATTGTGTGAAATACAATAGTTATAGCAGCGGCAACATATTGGCAAACAATAACTTTGAACTCAAAATCACTAATCTAATACAACTCACAATTATTGCAGTAACCAAAGTAAATTACAAGAAGTTGCACAACAATGGAGTTAATGAAGTCTTATTTAAATTGGATGGGCGGGTTAAATTATCTTAAATAGGTGACCATATTTAAATTGGAAGAAAAAGAAATCCACATAGGCGCCATGTAGGAAAACAAAGGTGGGACATGGCGATCTACCGAATGAGGGTAAATATAGGGTATAATTGTAAGAATAAATATTTCAAGAAAGTATAACGAAGGACAAATGTAACCCTTTTTGAAGAGTAAAGGAGTAAATATGATCTTAAAGTATAACTAAGGACAAATGTAACCCATTTTAACGTGTAAGGGTAAATATGAACCTAATGTATAACTGTAAGGATATTTTTGATAGAAAACGTAAACGGAGGGTAAATAAGGCCTATTTATGATAGTAGAGGGGCAAATCAGACCCTTATCCGTTTGCATTTCAACACACACTACCAGATACTGTTTCTGATTGTGACACTGATTTCAGAATTCAGGCTTCTTGACTCACTGGAACATGAAATTCATATATATTGTCAATTCTTGGTTTCATTAGTTCAGATCTTGTGGGAGGCCCTAAGACTAGAAAACTAGGTGAATTCAACCCTGTTTCCGTCCACTGAGTACAGTTCACAAATCACAAGTCTGAAACTATATAATTTCCCTGAAGGTTTCTCATGTTCTGCTGGTGAAGAGGGGGAATGAATATGTAATATGCTACATTTCGAAAGGCTTTACTATCACTAACACTGGATTATACATTTCCACAACTTTTTACCATATTTACAAGCCAACAAGCGAGTTGGCTACGATTTGAAAAATAAGAAACTGGAAGAGCATCCAACAAAGCTCTATGTGACATATCGAGCCTCGACTCTGGAAGATCCATCAAGCACGTATCATCTGCACATTTACAGAGACAGAAACAGTAAGAGCAGGATAGGGGATGCTTAGTGATAATGCCCTAACATATTAGCAAGAATATAACATTTTTGCATGGAGACAACTCAACTACCTTGCGAAAATTATGGATTTAAAAAAAAAAAAAAAAAAAAAAAAAAAAAAAAAAAAAAAAAAAAAAAAAAAAAAAAAAAAAGAGAACAAGATAAGAAATCCAATATCGATCTCATATGGCAAAAGTAGGAATGCGCTCTCTTCCTCAAAAGATTAAAAAAAAACTCCACAAAGTGCAGACACATTCATTAGTTCCAAGCATCTCTCATGAAAAATAAGGACAAAACAATTCACTGTTTATATGTGCCTGTAGCTTCCTAATTCTTCATTAATATACAGGTTTGACTAGGTGCAGAGGCTCTCAACTACAGACTAGTTAAGATTTAATAGATGTTACATTATCAAAATGCATTGACTAAGAAACTGGGGTCATAGTCCTGGGGAATATAACACCAGTTCTTGTAGTAAGATAGTCTCAGATTCCTAGTTGTTCTGCAGAGATCAACTAAATGTTTTGTCTAAAATAGAGAGAATTCGGCAGCAACTTCTATTAATTAGATTAGAGAAATATCATAGTCGTAAAGCGGAAGGTCAACCAAAGAATACAAAAAGTTAATTAAAGTTCATTGAGGGGTCTCAAGCAGTGATCCTAGACATTGAATAAAATAACACCAAAGGATAAAGGATAAATTCTCTCACCTACAAGGAAAAGAAAGAAAAGAAAGGGGGACGGGGGGAATGGTAGATGCAATCAAGAAAAAACAAGTAACTGAACTGATACTACAAATATCGTACCATCCTTGGAATGCTTCTCCCTTGTAGTGTTTTCATTGCAGCTTTTGCAAAGGCTTGTGCAGCTTCGGCTTCAGCCTCAGCAGCCTCAGCCACTCTAGCAGCCTCCTCAGCTTCTTCTATGGCTGCTTCTGCTTCTGCAACAGCTTGTGCAGCAGCAGCTGCTGCCTCTTGAAGTGTCATACTCCTCATCGTAGCTAACTCTAAATCTACTTGAGCCTTAGTAGTACGCATGTTCATATCATCCCGATCAACCCTATTCGAGATCCTCTGCCCGCTTTCCAAGAGAGGAATGGAAGGCATTCTTCTTCTATCAGATAATGCTGACATCGGTGCTATTCTATACTTTCGCTTCACCTACAAAAAAATAAACATACTTACTATCATAATCAGAATGAATTGAACTACTGATCATCATTCATGAATTTGAATCCACGAGTTCGTACTGGCTTCACACTCTAAGAGGGCAAGATAAACAACAATTTAAGTGTGATGCAAAACTGAATATCACCTTGATAAGTCTCCCAGTTGCAGTTAAATACTTCAGTTTCGCTGAAAGTAGCCTTTTAAAGTTTGGAGGTGCCCAGTATTGATCCTACAAGATATCAAAAGTACTGAGTATAATAGACTGATAGATGTCGCGATAATTTATAACTTCTGCTAAGAATTGAGATTTCATGAAAGTTGACAGTTATGCATTATCTAAAGTTTATCACATGGCGCCTTACTTTGGAGCCAATCTCTTAACGTAGAGAAGTAAGATATAGAACCATCAGATTAATGTTACAATCATAGAAGGTAACATTCAGTTCATACTAAACAGGATGCTAAACCACGGCCCATCTATACTTTAAAATTATTTGACAAAATTAGACTCGTACAATTCTATGCAGTTGATCTACTGTTGTGAGTGCCAATAGTCATCAACAACAACAACAACAACAACAACAACCCAATAAAATCCCACTAATAGGGTCTGGGGAGGGTAGTGTGTACGCAGACCTTACCCCTACCCCGAAGGAGTAGAGAGGTTGTTTCCGAAAGACCCTCGGCTCAAAAAAAAGAAAAAGACAAAAGGACAAAAAGGAGACAATGTTAGTATCACAACAGCAATAATAGGAAAAATAGGAACACCATGAAATTCAGAAGAAAGATGTAAAGCAAAGGGAGACAATATTAGTATCACCACAACAATTATAAGAAAAATAGGAACACCATGAAATCTAGAAGAAAGATACAAAGCAAAAGCGATAGCTAGTAAATAGGACCTACACTGAAAAGCGAAATAGTAAGACACAACATTGCCACTAGCTATCTTAGACAAAAACCCTACATGGCTAGTCCCAATAGTCAGATGCTTAAAAAACTTGTGTCACGCCACACATAAAGAATAAACGACTGCACATGGAAAAAGCCAAATACTATAATTAATGAGTTTCAAGAAAAGCTCATACTTAGTAAGAACTAAGAAGCGCAAACCGCAAACACCATTCAGAACGTTATTGGTTGCACAACAAGCAAGATTTCAAAATTCCAAAACATGTTAGACGCCCTAAGTAAGAGCATTGTGCATTATAACTAGGCAATACTGCTCTAAATTCCGAAACATACAAATGTGGTTAATCCCGCCATAGCCCCAGTGCCCTTTATCGCTTAGCTAATAGTCCGTCGTGCGAGTGTCTTATTTTTCGCACATTAAACTCAACAAGAAGATGAGTACCTCTATGTATGTAGCTATAGTAGTCTTGTTGGAACCACCTGGCTCCTTCAAGTTGCTTATAGCCTCCATTATAAGATTATCCAACCTATAATAGTAGCAAAGCAGCACCACTTTAAGATGTCGTCTTTCCAGCAAGAAAAATAAGACCCAAAAAGATGGAACTTAACAAACTTATGAAAAGGCTAGGACAACTTTTAGCCATCTACCATCGTCGGAATGCTAAAAACTAAACAAGAATTGTTACTTGGACATAACATGTGTAGAATGTGAAAATAATTAAAACTACCAAAATTTGAGATCATGCAGAAGCCAAGATTTAACTATATTCGTTAGCACAAGCAAATGTAGAAGGCTACAATAGTCATGCTGTAACAGGTAATGAGCAAGGTTTGACCTTATGATAGATCTTTTTGACCCACCAATCTGTGGAGAACCACTAGAAGTAGTAGCTAGCCTTGCTTCAACAATTTCCTCATCACTTTGAGCCTCAATGATAAGAGCTAAAGAATTCTCATCCTGTTTACGAGTTTGATTCATTCCTTTGAGAGCCAGCCTTGCTTTCTCTCTAGAACCCCAGCCATTTGCCATCACACTCATGTTCCTCCACTTGTCCTGAACAGCATCAACAAAGACAAATTAACATTTCATGCATAAATAAATAGCTAAGAAAAAATTAAGTTATGTAACGTTCATCGACTCAAATGACACTAGAGCTTCCTCTCACCAAAAGAGAATTTTGTCCTAAAAGAAAAGGAGGGAAATTCGACCTTTAGATCTACATTTGAACGCAAGCACAACACTCCGCTAAATTCTGGGTCCTTTAGGATCGTCCGCCATTTTCCTGGTCCATGCTTCCGGACCCCTGCTTTAAGAGCAGCTTCTTCTTCTGGAGTCCACTTCTGTTTAGGAGCACCCATCCAAGTATTTAGAAATTAGCCTTCAGAACAACCTGATCAGAAAACCATAAAAATGTGTCAAAAACACAGAAGAAGATGATGGACAATAAGTAAGATGCAGAATGGAATTATATATCTGGACAAGCAACATAAACTCACATAAGCAAAACTAAGCTATTAACGACAGTCTAGTACAAAACATGGAAACTGCCTCAAAAGAAATATGTAATTGGTGCCGGAGAAGATACACCATACTCACTCATGCCTCTTATAACACATTTGCATTCAGATCACCTAATTCCATGCACAAAGCTATTGTTCCAGAGTCATGACCACTCCCAACAGGCATGAGCGGTAATCATTCAGCAAAGGCGTTAATATTATAAAATTCCTGAAATTGAAAAATGGAATTCAAGGAGCAAATAGCTTGTCTTCGAAAAGTTCTTCAAGTGTTTAACGTGAATCTTTCACTTTATGTTGTGCATTGCTCTGAATACCTCAAGCTAATTCCTTTTGCGCACGCTTAACAAATCCTATTATAGCTTTAAATACAGGCAAATCAATCATAAAAACAAACATGGCCTATACAATATTAGAATCATTCCAATAGAAAATTTCGAGTAAAACCAAGCATCTGCTTAATTACATTGCAGTCCCTTGTGAATCCTAAATTTCAACAGATTATTTTTTTGGCTGAAGAACAAACTTAACATGTACAAGCTTTAATCCCTAAGGTCTTGATCAAAAAAAAAAAATTCAAATAAATTTCAACAGAAATCTAGTTCATGAATATAAATTATGATCACAAGATGAACCACGTGTTCTAGCGAAATCAAATGATTGCAGAAACATTTGAACATAAAAATTCATAAAAGCATCATTTTTAGGCCAAATTATGGAAAATCACAAGCATAAAGAGGATAAATTTTCATAAAGATATCATCTTTTTACTGAATTTCGGAGAATCACAAACAGAAACCCTAGTTTTAGCCGATATATTCAGGAGGTTAAAATTTCACAAATATATTACCTTCAAGCTGAATTATGGAAAATCACAAATCGAAACCCTAGTTTAGCCAATAAACTAGGAATTGTCAAAAGAAAATTACAACTCAATTAGAAAAAAAAATGATCGAAAGAGAGGAAATTGAAGAACAGAATGAGATCGAGAATTACCAAAGAGGATCTGCAGAAAAGAATGATAAAAGCCTAAGAATTTGAATTTCCCTTTTTATATATTTTCTATAATAACTTTTCTCGTAGACGTAATGTTCTCTCTCTCTCTTTTGTTTTTTTGTTTTTCTTTTCTGTAATGTTACACTCCTTTTCTCTTTTTCTTTTTTCCTAATGACTACTACTTTTTTTTAAAAGCTTCATACATTACATTTTCCAAATTACATCATATTTGCCCCAGCGTATTTGATTTTATATCGGCATGTGCATAAGCTATTTGTATTTTCCTCTCTCGTCTTGTTTGATATATTCGTCCTGCTATTTTTTTGGACTTATTTCATTAGTGTTCTTTTTTTTAGTTATAAGGATTTATATATGAAAATTAAATATATATTATTTAGTCAAATCTTCCAAAAATATGTTGTCGGTCAATGATCATATATACAAGATGATAACACCGCAATAACAACAAAAAGTCAAGTGAAGTCACACAAGTGAGTTGCAAGGAAAGATGATAACATAAACAAAAGTATTTCATAATACAACGTTAGCCTTTCAAAAGAGTCCACGAACCCATACTTAGCTAAAGCGTATGTGACTTTGTTAGCTTCCTTATTTATATATATATATATATATAGTGTTGTGACACTGATGATGACCTTTATAATTTTTATTCCCAATATAAAGGTATGAATATCAAGAGTGGTTTGGTAAGAGGTATTAGAAAAAATAATGCAATCATTAGCTTTATGCATTACTAATACATTATTTGGTACATTTTTTCAACTTGTGTATAACAAATACTTGTATTAGTTATACATCATACTTGGTATTATCCTATGTATAAGTAATGCATAGAAAACCATGGCATTAGTAATACCAAGGCTACTAATGCACGCATTAGATTGGTTAAAGACAAAATTATACTTAAAATCCCTTAAAGCTTGAGAATATGGAGGGCATTTTTGTAAACAACTATTTTTCTTAAAAATTATGCAATGCATTATAATTTTAATGCACCACACCAAAAAGTAGATAAAGAATAATATCTGCATAACTAATACTTGCATTACTAACTCGTGTATTATTAATCCATGCATTACTAATACACCTTATTCCGCACTATTCTTATACACCCTACCAAACGACCCCCCAATGTCTTAACGAATGATAGTATTATAAAACTCCTAAGAGTTATCAAAGAGCCTGAATTAAGATCTCAAATATTAGACAAATTACCTACAACTTCATAAGTAGGTAACAAAATAGAAGAAATACCCTCTACAGAGATTCCAACTATTCTGTCTCGAAAAGGACCCTTTATAATGTTTGATATAAAGAAAATGATTAGAGAAAAATCATTACCTGATAGACTTACTACTGTCCAGGATTTAAATATTGAGATTAATAATATCAAAAGAGAAATCTCTGATTTAAAGGCTTCAAATGTAGCCTTAGACAAAAAGAGTTTTTAAATTAGAAAACTCTAATCTTGAAGAAGAATTCGATGTTGATATTACTGAAAAAGCAGACGATGAGAAAACGTCAGCAGATAAATTATTAGGAACCACTAATTATGCAGAAGATGAATTATTACAAAAACTCCATTATTTTACTACTCAAAAGCTTTTAATAAAAATATCTCTTTTAATTGACTATAATTTCAAAAAAGAATTTGTTGCTTTATTTTATAGTGGAGCAGACTTAAGTTGTATAAAAGAAGGAGTAATACCTTCTAGATATTTTCATAAAACCACACACAGATTAAAAAATGTTAGTGGTGGCCAAATGGGTATTTCTTATAAATTACCTAAAGCTTTTATATTTTAAGACAATGTTTGTATTCCTGAAAGCTTTGTTTTGGTAAAAGATATCCATTAGGATGATATATTAGGGGTAACATCCTTTCATAAAATAATGCATCCTATTCAAAGATTTTTGAATGAGATAATTTTCAAAAATATTTCTTCTAGAGTTCAACAAATTGATTTTTTAAAAAATAAAATTTGTTCTCTTACTATTGAACAGGATTTGAAAAATCCTAAGTTAATTAATAAAATTGATTTGTTACAAAATTAATTTTCATTACAAATATGTGGTGATTATTCGAACCAATTTTGGAATAGAAAAAAATATGTTGTGAGTCTTCCTTATGAAGAAGACTTCTCTGAGGGTAATATCCCTACAAAGGCTAGGCTTTGTCAAATGAATTCCAATTATTTAGAATTATGTAAAAAAGAAATAGATTCCTTACAACAAAAGGGTTTAATAAGACTCTCAAAGTCCAAATAGTCTTGTACTGTTTTTTATGTTAATAAACATGCGGAACAAGAGAGATGTGTTCCAAGATTAGTTATCAATTATAAACCCCTTAATAAAGTTTTAAAATAGATTAGATATCACATCCCTAATAAAAAGAATTTATTAGATAGATTACATGATGCAATTATATTTTTCAAATTTGATTTAAAATCTGGATATTGACAAATTCAAATATCTGATACTGATAAGTATAAAACTGCTTTTAATGTCCCTATGGGTCAATATGAGTGGAATGTTATGCCTTTTGGTTTAAAAGATGCCATTTCTGAATTTCAAAAAATTATGAATGATATTTTCATATCTTATACAAAATTTATAATTGTTTATATAGATGATATATGGGTATTTTCAAAAAATATTGAATTACATTTCAAGCATCTTGATTTATTTAGAAAAATTATAATTCAGAATGGATTAGTTATATCTAAACCAAAAATGGCTCTTTTTCAAATAAATATCAGATTTCTTGGACATAATATTGAAAAAGGAAGAATTATTCCTATTAATAGAAGTATTAAATTTGTTTCTAAATTTCCTGATATAATTACTGATAAAATTCAACTTCAAAGAATTTTAGGAAGTTTAAATTATATCTCCCCTTTTATATGTGATATTGCTAAAGATACTGCTATTCTTTATGATAGATTGAAAAAGAATCCAAAACCATGGACTGATAGTCATATAGAATCAGTCAAAAGAATTAAATAGAAGGTTAATAATCTTCCATGTTTAACTCTTGCCAACCCAAGTTAGGCAAAGATAGTAGAAACTAATGCGTCTAATATTGGGTATGGGAAAATATTAAAACAATACTCTCCAATTGATAAGAGAGAGTATCTTGTTCAATTTTATTCGGAAAATGGAATAACTCCCAAAAAAATTATGCTACTGTAGCTAAAGAAATACTTGCTATAGTAAAATGTGTTATGAAATTCGAGACTGATTTACATAATCAGAAGTTCTTAATAAGAACTGATTGCCAAGCAGCTAAATTTATCTTTAATAAAGATTTTAAACATGATGTGTCAAAATAAATGTTTGCAAGATGGCAAGCACTATTAGCTCCTTTTGATTTTGATATAATTTACAAAAAAGGATCAGATAATAGTCTTCCTGATTTTCTCACGAGAGAATATCTAACCTAGTCATTTTTTAAAAATAAATTATGCAGATAATGAGGCCACAGTTTAAGTCTTCCCGAGGAAGAGAAAGAGAAGCACCTTCATACGAAAGAGGAAAGATTATAGCCCAAATGGGAAATCAACAGTTAATAAATACTTATATTGCAAGTTCTTCAGGGATAAATACAAATCATCCCATGTATAAATAATTCATGGATTTTATGAAATCCAAGCAAGGTAATACCTCCAATCCTTCATATTCCTTAGCATTAATAGAGGATAGTCATGAAACAGTTGAGGTTTATAACCAGAATAAAAAGGAAGAGTTAATAACTCTACTCGAATATTCTAATCTAAAATGGAAAGAAAATCCTTGGCAACTTATGACAAGGTATTTTGATACAGCATCATATGCTACACTTTCATACAAGTATAGAATGCATTATGAACTTGCTTTAACTTCGGTAGGGTCAGTTGAAATTCAACACTTTTATCCGGCTAATACAAAAAGAGTTTATAACTTCTCAAAAATTATAGTGAAAAGAATTATAGTTCCAGAGGAATGAGGAATTAGCACTTTTAAATAAAGGGATTATATCCATCAAGAACAAAAAATGCGAATGAAGTTTAATTATTGGGACTATGTGAAAGGTTTTAATAAAATCCTTTTACACGAAAATACTAATAGAAAGCATTCTTGGTTTATCAAGCTTTGTTCAAATATATATGTACAACAAATCCCAAATTGGTTTTATAATTGGTGGATATTATATGGTCCATCTATAGAAGTACTGCCAGAACAATTCAAGAGTTTATATACTCAATGGGTAGAAATATCTCCTAAAATAATTAGTTTTCAAAAAGAAGATATCTTCTTCCCAGGAATGGCTACAATATATTTCTTTATAGAATTCTCTATCCCCTCGATAATGAAATGGGATATAAAAGTTAATAATACAGCAGAATGATTCTCTTGTCTGAACAGAGTTTTTTTTATACAAAATTCTGGACCAAATTACTCCAAAAGACCCCAAGGCAAATTATATGGCCAAGATATTTTGGATAATATTCAGCAAATATTGGATGGATACAATATCCAAAAGGAAGATAATACAAGAATTTTAGAAGATTTAAGTCCTTTTAAACAATTAGCCAGACAGCTACAAATGAAGAAAGGAACAATGACAAAATCAGGAATGGTGGCTTCTTATATGCAAGAAGTAAAGAAGGATTTAATGAAAAATTTGGAGATAGAAATCCCAAATGATATTTCAGTAGCATCAACTAGTAATACCATGGAAACTGAAGGAATCATAGCAGGAGAATCTCAAGAAGAAGAAGAAACAGAAGTAAATCTTCAAGATGTAGAATTTTTTTTACAACAACTCCAAAAGCATGCGGATCCTGGCTTGTAGATCTTTGGCGAATCAACAGGGGTTCTTTCGTAATTAGGTTGTTCTCCGAACCTTGTTTGTTACTGAGCTGGGTAACTCAAACCCTATCCCCTTCCTTTCTCTCAATCATTCAAGATATTATGTGAATTAATATATTACTGAATCTAATGAGTTAAACTAAAATTAAAGTGGTTGTCATCGCTCGATCACTTCCTTTTTCACTAAGTGATTACTTAGGGACCTTAGCGTATGATCTGGGCTGTTTCCCTCTCGACTTTGGATCTTAGCACCCAAAAAGTCTGTCTGTATAAACGATCTAGACCTGTATTCGGAGTTTCCCTGAGGTTGGTAAGGCGAAATGAGGCCACCCTAGCCCATTGAGTGCTCTACCTCGGGCCGGGAATAGGCTAAAAGGACGGTTATAAGGCATCTAGAGGGCCTGTTTTCGGCTGGTCATAACCAGAACTCTTAGATTAGGAGTCCGCCCTTAGCCCAGTACTTAATAAAGGGAGGCAAGGCGAACTTCTTCTACGTCGAATTAATCTTCCACCAGAAAAAATAATAAATGAAAAGACAAAGCATGAAAAAGACTGAATACCCCACCGGCAAATTATTGAGTTAATAAAATAGAAAAAACTTTTATAAAGTTATGGGACCCTATATATATATATGCTCGAGTTTCATTCTTACTTTTATCTCATAGAGAAGCGCGTTGAGAATTTCCTTGAGTATATATATATATGCTCGAGTTTCATTCTTACTTTTATCTCATAGAGAAGCGCGTTGAGAATTTCCTTGAGTCAATTTCATTATTTAAAGGTTTTGCAACTTTAATTCCTACTATGTACCAGCCTAACATTTCAGCCTGCATGTCAGTATTTAGTAGCTTTAGTTATGACAATTGTTTTTGGTTATGGCAAGTTTTAATACTATATAACACACACATATATAGATAGATAAAATGACATAATTGTTCTGAACTATAGCAATGTGTCATCTAGTCTAGTGCAAAAGGAAAAAAAAACAGTGTATTTTGATATAAAGGTATTACATCATAACCAATTATCGATCTCCATGTCAGAGAAGCTAAAAAAGATTGATTTTTCCAATCCGATTACTTCTATTAGTCCATGACCACTCTAATTCTTATGTCTGATAATAGGGGTATTCCGGTCAATTAAAAAACATTTAATTTTCTCTTGTTATATATTTCAGTACTAGCCACAAGTTCCTTGTATTCTAACAATATTGCTAACGGTGAATTTTGGAAGACTATAGATTTGGATAATGTGACTAGGGCGGAGCTGGAACATGAATTACGGGTTATGCCGAACCTCCAAACCGTATATTTGTTTTAAAAAATTCATCGAACAAGTACGATTTATTAATCTAGAACCTAGTAACTTGAAGATTAGATTCTCGAACCCATAAACTTCAAATCCTGGTTTCACCTCTTACGTAACTTGGGATGATAGAAAGAACAGAGTAGATGTCAAGAGTTCCAAGTTCCAACAACTCAAAAATGAAATTGAAATTCTTTACTAGAGATTCTAACATCTGTTCATAAGAACAAAAATACGCGATTTTACTTTACCAAAGTTAACTTTTTGCCAAGAAAGCGAGCAAATGACTATGTATCACCCACGAACAGATGAGCGCTGCTTACATTTTACGTATAACCATACCATATGATGCAAGAAATTGGCTGTATCCAAATTAGCTCAACATGATCAAAAAAATTAGTAGAGGAGCGTTTTCACATTCTCTACGCTAACTTCACCTTCCCATAATTTATTATACCACAACATTAGTGCATAAAAGTTAAACTCATGTCGATTCTATCACGCTCTATTGACCATGACAATAAGATCTCTTAAAATAACACATGACCTACAATTTGGTGAATAGACACACTTGCATTGAATGTCTTGAGCTATATGGAATTAACTCGATCATATATATTCTCAAATGGAGGTCCAAAATATTTATAAAGAACAAGGCACAAAAAGGAAAAGGCTAGATCCTGTGATCCACAGAGGACCATATATACTAGCTAGTGCATGTCATTTTGATTCACAACTCCGTAGGTTATCAAAAGCACGCATCTAAGAGGCAGCAACAGCACACAGCAGCCAGACTGCAAAAACAATATCAACAAAAAATCGATTAGTTTTCTCTGTCTTCTGAAAATAGAAAGAGTTACGAGGGAAATTAATGTGTTAGCCTGCTAGGTACACTGAATGGTAAAATTAATGAAGACACATGCAACAACGCTAAACATATATATTAAGATTACAATTTATTAGCTATTGTTAGACTAGAAACAACATATAGATCGATTCAGATACTGTAGTACTTTAGAATAATCCTATTAGCCAAAAAAATAAAAATACGTAGCAGATAAGTTCAAATCGTTCAATCTTCCACCATTGTCATTGGCAGAATTCCTCATCCACAGGCTAGACAGCAGCTCTCTTGCCCGGGGATTATATTCCATGCAAAGAGTGGAGTCAGGGGGATTTTAAGATAAAGAGATTTGAAAACTTGCAAGAATGCTAACATCTGAGATTTAAACTTATAACCTAAAGTAATTTTTTTACCATCTTTGTCACGAAACTAGAAACTTCCTAATATCAAGGGTAGTTTACCTATATATATATATATATATATATATATATATATATAGATATATTTATACATAGTATAATTTTTGGATGAACGGTCTTCGATACATATATATAGCTCCACCCCTATTTATTGTTGGACGTCCAAGCGGTGGCAGATAAAGCTCCGAGGCAGTGGGTTCATCCGAACTTGGTATTTCGACGCATCATAGATATATATGTGAATTTTCACTATAACTTCAACAAATATTATATGAACCATATAATGTTACTATGAACCTTAAAAGTCGAACACATCAATTTTAATTCCTAGATATGTCTAACTTTCTTAGATCCAAATCCAGAAAAATGTAAGATCACACATATCCAGTCCATGCAAGCCAACGAACAAGATGACGCGGACACGCAAGACGACAACCGGCGCGGATGTAGTGTAGTATCAATAGGTTCAACTGAACTCATAACTTTTGACGCGGAGTAAAATTTTATATGTAAAAATTTATTAAAATTACAAAAATAATAGATATGAACCCATAACTTTAAAAATATAATGAGTTCAAACCTAAAAACTTTAAAAGTTGAACCCACAAGATTTAAATCCTAGATCCGCTTCTGACAATCGAGTTGCATCATGCATGCATGCACAAACGTAAGAATTAATATTCAGATAGGAGGGAGTATGGGGGGAGGGGCATATATGTACCAGCCAGTCATGACGCCGGTGGTGGCAGATGAGTTCTTTTGAGGGGGCGGAGCCGCGTACTGAGGGGCCCCGTACGGCGGAGGAGGATAACCTTGTGGTTGTGGAGGATAACCTTGTGGGTATCCCTGAGGAGGATACCCATATGCATCCTTTGGTGGATATCCTATTTATTTATTTTCACATCCATATATATTCCATTAGATGCAATATATTTCCGAGAATATCATAAAGAACACAACAAACAATATTAAAGAAAATTTGTTACCTTGAGGGGGAGGGACACCAACTGGAGGAGGTTGATTGTAATAACTCATGATCAATTTATTGGATATAGATCTGTTGTTCGAATTATATGGTTTCAATATTCAAAGATTTTCTGTTCTTTGAGAGATATATAATGCAAAACTATTTGCTCGATCTTAGTCTGATCTAGAATATGTCAACCGATCCCTGTGTAAGATTCAAGATTTCATATTTGATTAATTTTCCGTATGGTCAAAATCCTAACAGATAGAGAAACCCATCATGTTTGTTTATGAAAACTAATTAGTTAGTTGATCACTTAAACTGTCAGTTTTTCTTTTATAGAAAATCAATTCTTTAAGTTCGTGGATTTTTCAACCGAAATAAATGCAAAACTAATTATTTTTCATTTATTAAAAAATAAAGCTATTTCCCTATTCAAACGAAACCTAAGACCACATGATCCACTACTGTAGGGTCCCTTTCTTTAATTCTTTTAACATTCAAATCATTTCTGCAGTGTTATTTTATTTAATTAACTTCACTTAGGAGTATAGTAATGCATAGTAAGTTTCAAATTCAGATAAAAAGAAAATAATGATAGAATTTGACGGTAAGTAACAATGTAAGATATATATATCTAAGTAAGACTCACCAAAGAACAGCTTTTCAATTCCCCGTGTTTTCAAAACTATATTAAATGCAACGGCTGTTCTTTTTTCTTTAACAAGGACTTCTAATGTATTTTTATAAATTCTAATAACGTTTAGAAATTAGTCATGACAAAGCCACCAACGATTCATCAATAACAATTCAGTTGGATTAACAGTAATTAATTAATCATTAAACTGGAAACTCGTGATAACGTGGGTCGAATAATTACGTATGTCCGATTGGCCATTAATTTAAACGTATGCAAATCAGTTGCTTGAGAGTTTAAAACTACTTTTCTTATAATCCGTAGTCCAAAGAGATGTTAGGCATACGTTTTCTTAGCTAAAGAAAGGGATTTAAGCTACATAAGATAATTATGTAAATTCTTATTAAATGTAATTTATTCGGTGATAGAAATTAGTTACTACTATCAGTATCAATTAGTATTTCTCATTAAAATTTATTTTTATTTACCTTGCATATGACCTTATTAGTGTATTATATATATATATATATATATATATATATATATATATATATATTAATCCATTTCTGGACGTGGAGTGTTAGTTAGGCTTATGTTCTAACCTCTAACGACCCCTAACACAGAGTTTCTTGGGGTAGCTGATCACTTTTCAGAGAATAAACAGACAGAGGGTCTACATCAACTTCTAAAAGATGGTTGGCTTTTAGTCTCAACGATCGCTAACTAACCATATCTATCGTTTCCAATTCTTCGTTTTTTCCCCTTTTTTCTTCTTCCTCGTTCATTACTTAACGTTGTTTCTTCTTCCTAATCTTCGCCATGCAAATTAAGCCCTCTTCTTTTGCTTCAAGTTTTAAAGTTTCTCCTATAAATTTAGTACACTTAAAAAAGACATTATTACTAGCTTTACCCTTTAATTGCATGGTGTATATATTTATGTAAAAAGAAGAGTTGGATTGCAAGTCTTATAGAGTGGTGGAAAGATGACAGCAGGGAAAGGAGATGAATTAGTGCCTCATCCGGTGAAAGATCAACTTCCCGGAGTAGACTACTGTGTTAACAGCAATCCTTCTTGGGGTAAGTACTTTACACACACATTTCGTAATTAATTACTTAATCACATTCATATCAATTCACATTTCACTGGAGTGGTAAATATTTGGCTCTGCTTGCTGACGTGGAAAACCATCTTAGCATTTTAGCTGATTTGACATGCCTAATTGACTTTTCGGTCAAGTTAAGACTTAAGAATTCTCTAACAAAATTTATTTTCTGAGTAACCAGTTATAAGTTGTGTGATTTTAAAGCGACAAAAGTTAGCCTAGTGATTTTTGTAGGAAAAAAATGGAAGTTAGAAGATTTTGAAGTGACAAAAATTAGTTTAATGACTTCTGCGAAAAAAAAATCATAAGTTGAATGATCATTTGAGAAATTGATTCAGGAATGTTTAGTTGAGTTCTTTCTTATAATTCCCGAATTACCTCACCAAGTCTGGGGTTTCCTCCTCTGTTTGATCATATATTGCTAAATTAATTAAACAGTCGCCCCTATAAAATTAACTATTGACTGCTTGAAGTATGGAAGCTAAATTCTGAGTTCCTAGTTTAAATGATGCAGCTGAGGCAGTTATACTGGGTTTTCAACACTATTTAGTCATGCTTGGCACTACTGTCATCATCCCTACCATCATTGTCCCTCAAATGGGTGGTGGCAATGTAAGTATCTTTTTAAAAATTGTATCTTAAGTTTTATGATTGCTGTATAATCTTGGTTTGAGATGAGCTTTAAATAAAGCAACTGGTCAATGAGAATTCATATAGTTTTTTTTGGGATTGATGCATAGTAGTAGTACTTGTTGTTGTATCTTTGTTATCAATTGTAAGTGTTACGTGTCCTATTTTATTTGACTATTGAAAGTTCAGGGAATTAGTGTATACTTACAACAGTTTATGTCTTCTAGGTGGAGAAAGCTGAAGTGATACAAACTTTGCTATTTGTTGCTGGGTTGAATACTCTTTTGCAATCTTGGTTTGGAACCCGGCTTCCAGTGGTGATAGGTGGATCATTCAGATTCATAACTCCAGCCGTTTTTATTGCATTATCCAACAGATACAATACATACCTTGACCCTCGTGAGGTTGGAGTACTCGAATTGCTCGCTTCAGTTTTGTGTTTTGAGCATTAATTTTTGCCTCAAAAAATAAATTGCTTTGATCATAGCATCATTTGCTTTCTTCAGAGGTTTAAACAATCGATGAGAGGAATGCAGGGGGCTCTGATGATAGCGTCCGTTCTTCCCATATTAGCTGGCTTTTTTGGAGTTTGGAGAATTGTTACAAGGTGGTCATTTTGCAGAATTATTCTCTTTGCAGCATTGTATTACTAGTTATTCTGTTGAACAGAAGGTTTAATTCCAGTTGTTTGACAATATATGTAGGTTCCTGTCTCCGCTTTCCAAGGCTCCATTGGTGTTGCTTCTTGGCATTGGGCTATATCAACAAGGTTTTCCACTTGTAAGAACTCCGGTTGTTCCTTACTACTATCTTCTATCTCCTCTTCGAATGAGCTAGATAAACAAACCTGAAGTTGGCCGTGAACATATATATTTACTTCCATTCCTTTCAACATTGGTTTACTGAGTTATAATTTATTTATGTTGATCGGTGATGGCAGCTGGCACAATGTGTTGAAATTGGACTTCCAGAGTTAATTCTACTTATATTGTTGTCACAAGTAAGCCTTATTCTTAATATTTATTGGGTTTGGTCTTGAGATGCATGTATTATCTGCACCTATTAATGTTGGTAATCACTGAGACCTGATATAAATGCCTTTCACCCTTCGACGGGAAGCCTTGTTTTCTTTATTGTCTTCATTTGTGTTTTACTACTATCTTTTTTTTAGTGGGAAAGTTGCATAACAAGATAGGAGAATCATACGCTAAATGAACAAAGGAAATCAAATAAAAAGTGCTAGCAGGGTAACTTTTGATTCTCTGCTTAGATCCACTGTATAAGGATTAAGCAGCAGAAGAATGATATGGAGATCAATTTGTGCTGATATTGGTTTTTCCATTTTGGTCTTTTAATACTGTGTGTTTTAACAAATGTTTGTGCAGTTTATTCCTCATATGTGGAAATTGAAGCAACCCTTATTTGAGCGATTCGCTGTCCTGTTATCAGTTGGAATAGTGTGGGCATTTGCAGCCCTTCTCACAGTAGCAGGTGCATACAAGAACAGACCCCTACAGACTCAGTTCAGTTGCCGAGTTGATCGCTCAGGGCTCGTTAGTGGAGCTTCATGGTGTGTTCACACTAATATTTTCACTTATACGTAGTCACTTCTCTATTTATTCATTAAGCATGTTAAAAATGGAGCTCATGGATATTTTATGATCAAAATCTCTTATACTTGCCGTTAACAGTATCATTTTGGTACAAATTACACTTCAAAGTAATTATATTTCTATAGGAATTATCTGCTTCAGTTGAGATTGGCATTAGCAAGTCCACGCCTCTGGCCGCAGTACCTAACAAATAGTCCCCTTGTGGCAAGAATCATGCCAAAGCATAGCTTCATCTAATTAACTTCATTTTTATTTCACATCAGCCACTTGATACTGTAATAATTATGAGAGGAAATAGTAGTAGGCTTGACTGTAATACTGATATCGTCCGATATCAAACAATTTTTGGCAATCTGTTACTTTATTGTGAACGTCTGTCTCAAATTTTTTACACTGCTTCTCTATCATAAAGTGACAATGTCTGGCAGTTAAAGAATATCTGATCTAATTTCCAATGTTTATATAGGTTTTGCTCTCAAGAACTCTTGTTTTCTGGAAATGCAGGATAAGATTTCCTTACCCATTGCAATGGGGTACTCCCAATGTTGATGCTGGAGACGTCTTTCTGATGTTGGCTGCAGCTTTTGTTTCTCTCATTGAGGTGTATATCCAGTTGCAAATGTTTAGGCTAATATTTGATGTAGTTGCTGACTTGATTCGGTTTTTCCTCTCACAAGTAAAACTTATGAAAACCTAACATTTTATCCAGTAATTCAACTACTGATTTATTACTATGTTGTGAGATGCATGATTCTAGTTGAATTTATTAAGGTTTTGGGTATTGTAAATTTTTAAGGCTGAACATCGTCATGTATGTTGACATTGTCCTTCTGAAAAACAGTTTCCGTATCTCTTTTGACAGTCTACTGGAGGATTTATTGCTGCTGCAAGATATGGAAGTGCAACATATTGCCCAGCTTCAGTTCTGAGCCGTGGTGCTGGATGGCTGGTAGGTGAACTTACAACGATGATATTCTCACCAACGACGGGTTCTTTCTCTCAATCAATAATTCTATGTTGAAACTAAAATTTCTTTTTTGTTGGTGTCCAGGGGTTAGGTATGTTGCTCAATGGTTTATGGGGAACCGGCAGTGGAGCTACCGTATCAGTGTAATACATATATCTGCCTTAGAAATGCTTAAAGTAGGCTATTTAGTTTGTTCAATATCTCATGCTACTTTTAAAATCAAGGGCACAATCAAGGCTAAGATGTGAGGAGTATTATACTCTAAGTAGTTAATGTTTTCCAATAATGTAGTAGTCTCTGGATATCAAACTCCAAAAAATGCATCTGCAGAT